GTACAAAGCAATGGACTATTTCATTGTTAGGCCAAGCTATACAGCGAACCTAACAAATCTCGCTCTACGGCGCTGATTAATACGAATGAGACCGTCTTAGGCAACGCCTGAAAGGCTAATAACAAAGTGATTGACTTATAAAAGAACTTAATATAAGGCAACTCTGAAAAAATTCATAATAATGATTACAATACACTTTAATCTATTAAATAAATGTCTACCAGGAGGTAAGGCCTAACTAATAGCCTCTAATAAACTGCACTAACCAGAATCAATTTATTCATCTTCGTATCGTCAAAGAGTAGAAACACAAGATAGAGTTCTCCACAAAAAAAAAAAAAAAAAAAAAAAAAAAAATTGTTCCACCGAAATGCATAGTGGAAATACAAACAATGGGGCGCCGCGTACGGCTGGATCTAAAACTACTGCCACCGTTACATCTGTGAATACATAATCTCCTTTTGCGGAGGTTGAAATCGTTCCCATTATCCATAAGATACAAACAAGTAGGCATAAATAAATCAAAACAATAAAATTACAGACACAAAAGCACAATCGTATGACCGGACTCTGATTAGTGATAAAGTTTTCCCCCTTACGTGGAAAAAGAAGGGCGCCGTGTGCGTCTTGATATACCTAGCAACAGAAGGGCGCCCTATACGTCTGGACAAGTATAATGAAAAAAACTTGCATTCAACGAAGAGACCTGGACCAATTTTGCTATGCAAGTGCTCAATCTTGTATTTCTGGTATCTTTGGTATCGTGAAAACTGTTGCGAATAGAGTACTACAGTCGTGTCGGCACGACGCCAGATGGCGCTCTCTGTTGTCAACAGACATTGGTTACCGTTCATTACTCCTGAATGACTTAGGCTTTCTGGAATAGGCATTTTAAGGTATAATATTTTACAATCAAAATGTACTAAAAACACAAAAGTTCGCATTATATTAGTTATCGAACACACATTTAATCATCAATTAAAATTTACAGAAAAAAAGAGAGTAAGATACAACATCTTAATAATTACGTTAGAAATTGGGGATCAATGGTTTGTCAGTGAAGAAAATGGCGTCCGGTTGAACTCTTTTTGCAACGATAGCAACGGAGTAGTATCACGTGGTATCGTGACGTAACACTGTAGTACTCTATAGCTGTTCGAAGAATGTCAGTGCGCGTACTACTAACAAAATCATTCTAATGAACACTCACAGAGATCACAAAGCAACCGTCACGGCCACAGCAACCTGGGACAGATTGTTATAAAACGGTCTTAATTGGTAACTCCTCGAATAAAGTTTAACAACTTTTTGTTGCAATTTTGTCCACTTTCGGTGGTCTGAAACTGTAGATTGCCTGACTATTAGACGGTCTTATAATAAAGGCATTGCTATAAAACAGTCTTCCCTCGCAAACGAGCACTCCCTGGCAACGTAAGATTGAGGGCGACGTCATGCGTGCTCGACGCACGCAAATGTATTGAAATGAACGTAAATAAACGCCGTAGACCTAATTTTACTGACGCTGAGAAGTGTGCGGAGTATTGTCGTTCGATCCTCCAACTTTGACGATCTAGGTCTACGTCTTGCCATTGCACTGTTGAATTAATCAGCAGAACGCCATAATGGAAAATGATTTAAGACCGTTCTAAGCCTCCTCCGAGTAGGCTTTAAAATCTAAGACAGCTAACTAGTTAGACCGCGGTATAGCAATGGTCTACTATCATAGACCAGTAGTGACATCACGATTATAGCCGGCTAACCGTTAACACCGTCTAAAGACTGCTAATAGCAATCCGCCCCAGTACTATAAGTTTATAATAATACTGTAGCAACCGCTCTACAACCATAAATTGTCCATGATTTTATCACCTCTAAAATTGATTTCTGTAACTCTTTATTGTATGGTACGGAAGCGTATTGCTGCCAACTAAAAAAAAAAAATTCAGATATTATCTCGTAATTACGAGATACTATCTTGTAATTACGTATATATACATATATATATATATATATATATATACGTATATATATATATATATATATATATGTGTGTATATATATACGTATATATACGTATATATACGTATATATACATATATATACATATGTATATACGTATATATACGTATATATATATGTAGATATATACATATGCATATATATATACACGCGTATATATATTATATATATACGTATATATATACACACGCATATATATAATACGTATATATATACACGCGTATGTATATACACGCGCGTGTGTATATATGTACACGCGCATGTATATACGTGTATACGTATATATATATATGTATGTATATATATACCTGTATACGTATATATGTGTGTATACGTATATATATATACGTGTATATATATACATTTATGTATATATATGCGTGTGTATATATATATGTATATATATACGTATATATATATATATATATAATAAAATTAATAAATTCATATAATTATTTTATAGGTTTTCGTATATATTTATTTAAAAATGTTATATTATAATTAAGAAAAAATGGTCGGGCCAACTGGTGCGTTTTCGACGGCCCTGATTATCACTCGCATGTATAACGGCCGTGATTTCGGTTAGAGCCAAAAATGACCCCATGGTCTGTGAAAGCCACAGGTCCCCCGGCCCCGGCGTTACGCTACTCGCTGGAAGGTAGCAGATACAAAGTTCAATGTCATAATAAAACATTGCTTTAGATTTTTTCTTTTATAGATCGGGGACCTTGGAGCTCAGGGGCCCAGGTTCAAATGGCCTGTTGAACCTGCGGTACGCCATTGGGGCTTGATGATCAGTTGTGGGCGCTAATTCGCAAAATAAGGTGATTTTATTAAATGTTCAACTACTTTACCATGATTTTTTTTTTGGTGGGGGGGGGGCGACTACGGGGGCGAGTAATTTTTGGAAGGGCATGAACTCCTCTCCCTCCTCCCCCCGAACACCACTAGATACGCCACTGAGTAACACCCACAACCATATCAAAGAAATTGTTGATGAAAATAGAAAATATCCTTTAGACTTACGCTACGCTTAATCAAAAGTCAATATAAAAAAAAAAAAACAATCGGGGATATTTATTCAAAGAAAACACAATTGGTCTACATTCCAAAATGAAATTCAAGGTGTCTTTGAGAATTAGAAACCAGAAAATTGCAATGATCTAAATTCTTTGTTGGAATCTTGGAAAGTTAGAGTAAACCATACTAATACAAACAGAAAAAAAAAGTAATCGAAAATACTGGTGGGAACGAGAAATTGACAACTTCAGCAGAACCCATAGGCACTATGTAAAAATATAGTGAAAGTAAAAGAGATGAATTATAAAACAGGTACCAAGATAAACGTAAACAGGTTAGAAATGCTATAAAACAAAAAACAAAACAAAACAAAAAACACAAAAAAAAAAACACAAAAAAAATAATTAAAAGAGTGTTAATATAATGAAAAACGGTGGTCCTAGCAATAACGATATAACGATAATGATTTTTGGCACACCTAAATAGACAAAAACGAAGGAATGACCAAACTTCAAGAAGGATACCAAATACCAATGGTATTACCACCGACAAATCTATTATGAGTCAAACCATCTCCAATATTGTCAGATATTTGGTAAAATGAATGTTAATATAAATGACTATAGAGATGGAGAAGTGATTGAAATAAGTAATATTTGCTAAAAAACTAAAAAATGGACGGATAACTCATCCGTCACAGACGAAAAGTGTCTCAGTGATGTGGAAATCTCAGTTAAAGACGTCATTTCATCAATAAACCTATCACAAATCGACACTATCACAAATGAATTTCTGAAAAACGGAGGTAATGGTATGTATAAGTCACTGTACAGTATACTTGTATCATTGAGTGTTCATCAGTGCCAGATGAATGGGACACAGGCCTCATTATTCCCATCTTTAAGACCATACGCGGTGCTAGACGCGAATTTTCTTAACATAGGATAGTTTGGTAAAATCGCATGAATTATTCATAATCATTCTTATCGAACATATTTTGCGCATGCTCTATTCTCAAGCCTGTCAGCCTCAATGGTCAGCTGCTCTGTGCTTTGTCGCGAGGGACATATTTTGAATTTAAAAAAAAATAAGTAAATAGATAAAATTTGATTTTGGGCGAACTGAGCAGATAGGCCTACAGTTGATATAAATGTGGCTGGGCGGATGTATGGGGAAGGAGTGCAGACAGTGCGATCGCACCCCTTAAA